ACACACACACACACACACAGACACCACGGCCACCATTCAACGAACAGCCAGAGCGTTGAGCCGGTCCAGCTGGTCCAGCAAGCGTCTCTGGCGGGACGGAGCCGCGCGCCTGACGGGCCGGTGGTAGGCCACCAGCTGCGCTCGCGTCCCTCGGCACGGCCTACCCCCCGGGCTGATGCAGCCGCAGAACCCGCTCCGCAGCAGCAGCCCATACACCACACTCGACCCGGACACACATTCCGTAATGAACAGATAGTAGTAGTCGCGCCGAACGGTCAAACGGGCCGTCAGGTAGCTTCCGGCCGCTGACTCATACATCGCCCGCCTGGCCGTCCCCTTCTTCAACTTCAACTTCAAAAAGGGTTATAACGACTGCTTGTTCGTAGCGAACTGCTCTACATGTAATCCCCACGGGTCTAGGAGGGCCTGCTTCTCGAGGGCTCTGCGCACCCGCCCGGCCCCACCCCGCCCCGCCCCACCGTGTTGTGGTCCCCACGCCGGTGCCGGTCGCCGGCCGCGGGCCGCTGCCAATGGACCCCGCGTCCTTGGCAGCGCGGGTGCGGGCGGCGGCCCGGGGGGCGGCGCAGCAGCAGGGGAGGATGGATGGCAGAGGCGAGAGTGAGTCAGGGAAAAGCCGCACCCCCCTACAAATAAAAGAGTGCGGCTCAAGTCGCACTCGAGGAACTTCTTTAGTGGCCGCGTAACATTTTGTCACGTATACTTCCTACTGCTGCGGACCCCGCGGACCCTTCGTGGACGACATGACATCGCGGACGTCACGGAGCACCGGGAGAGAAGGAAAGTGGGGAAGGTATAGGGGGCACAAGGTGGACCATGTAGCCATCAGGATGGCGTGCAGTACCGTTACAGTCGTGCAGGTTTATTGTCCCAAGGTAATAAGTAGCAGGTCAGCTCCTCGCAGCGCAGCCCGGGCGCCTCCGGCCGGGCCAGCGGGTCGCAGGTGCAAAGCTGCTAACGCGTTCAGTGACCTGCCTTCTCTGTTCGCTCACGCTGTCTCTCTCTCTTGCACCCATCCTCCCCGTCCTGCATGTCTTGTCTCCCTTGCACACGCGCACGAGTCCTCATAACTACTAATGAGAATGAGATGTTTGGCGCAGCCATCGCACAGCATGCCCGCCCGGGCGAGTCGACGAACTCCCCGCGGCCATGTTCTATCCAGCAGACCGAGAGAAAGAGTGAGAGAGAAAAGCAGTAAGCTCAACTGCCGGAGCCACGGAGATTTTAACTTTAACTTCAACGAGTCTTACAACGACTTCAAATTCACTTTAATGGATTAACCCGTAACAGAAGCCCTCTAAATTTTTCACATCGGGAGATTAGACTGAAAATTTAAGCAAATCTCCCAATTTAACATGGGCCAAGAAAGTAGTGAGAGATTAGACAAAAAAGTAAGGTTCATCATTGTTTTAATTTACTTTCAGGAATAATTTGAGTTATGGGATGACCAAATCTACAAAGAAAACTTTAGGCTCAGTTTGAAGATTTGAAAGTTACGTAAACTTTTCTGTTCTAAAATTTCTGTGCGCTAAGTTTTTTTTGTTAGGTTTTGGTCATTTACCTTAAATTCGTGTTTAAATTGAGTACTACAACAATTATGAACCTATTCTAAATTACGTCCGTTCCTTCATTAGATTTTCGGGTTTTCAGATCGATCGCAACCGAGGGGGCAATAACTCAGAATTTAAGCGTGCAACTGATTCCCGGAATCCATGATTCCCGTTGATTCTTATTGATTCCCGTCGTGATTTTCATTGATTCAATTGATTTTCCGTCGCGATTCTCATTGATTCTTGCTGATTCCCGCCGTGATTCCCGGCCCAGTGTACACAGGATTCCCAGAGTTATTGACCCCTCGATCGAAACCTATGATGACCCCCCGAGGGGGATTTTTCGAACACCCACCTGTTGGCCCGGTCGTGCCTGTCCAGGACGGCGGAGTAGTTAGCGTGGCAGCCGAGCGGGAGGGTCCCCGACGAGCCCAGGGCGCCCGCGAGCGCGAGGGCCTTGTGGGGGTTGAGCAGGACGGGCAGCGAGAGCGCGCGCGCCGACCGCTCCGCCCTCGACATCGCGGGGTGCTGCGGGGCGGCGCGCACCGTCACCACGACCGCGTCGTCGGCGGCGGCCTCGCCCTCGCCGCCGCACTCCACGTCGCCCCCGGGAGGGAGCATGGCGTCCAGCGGTGTCTACGGCGATCGTCTCATTCCTGGGGAACAGAAAATAAATGCAATTGTTAAGATTGGCAGTAGACCGGATCCTCGTGGGTTTGAGGACGCGACGAGGGGTTTACACTTTTATATCCGTTCTCTAGTCATCAGTAAGTCGGGAAATTGGGGGGAATTTCGCCTCTAAAGTCTCCGGTGCGGTCCATTTAGTCAAAACCCCAATCATTGTCCAGTCCTTCCAGTCACCTAGCCAGATTTGACTGATATTCAGAGGAGACCCATTTCTGAAGTAATGTACCCCTTGGAAATTTTAATTTTGGGGGTTGCAGCACAGGGAGGGCCCGGGTCGTACCGCAGAGACGAGAAGAGGTCCGAAGGGTTCGGGAGCCGGCAAGGAAATGGTAAGGCGCGCGCTGGAGTTAGGTGGCGAGGACCAGCAGCAAGACCCTCGCGAATGGTCCAGCGCAGGAATGTGGACGGCCCGCTGCCCCCTCCCTCGCGTCGCCCCCGGGGGCACCTTCCCCTTCTCCACCCTCCTCCTCCTGCTCTCCCCCCGCCTCATCCCTCTCCTCTCCAGGAGGGACGCGCAACTCCGTCGCGTCGCACCCCTATAGCCGTGGCCGCCCGCCTCCCCCCCGTCTGCCACATTCCATACTCCCACCACAACAAGGCGTGCGGTTGGCCACATTAACATCACTGCCCTTGGGATTCCACGACGCGCCGCCGCTTAAATTTGACCAACGAATCAAAAACAAATGTCTTTCGACACATATTGGGTACGGCATCGGCATGACCACTAAGTGGTCACATCCATATGCTGAATCATGTGTTGAAGCAAAAATGTAGGCTATAGGCCTAGGGCTAGCATATATCACTGATAATCTGACTAGGTGACGAATGTCCAAAATTTGTTCAAATTGAGTTTTCTTCATAATGTTATTGCCAATTACATTCTCTACCACCAGCAACAAACGGCACAAAATTATCTATCATAGTTTAAGATATAGAGCAAGCACG